GGATTTCTGGTTTTAATCAAAACTTCATCTTGAACACCATCTTCTAATCATACGTGCTTCAAACAGCACACATACATTCATCTAAATACTCATGTTCACCCAGAGAAGTTTTCTTGTGTCTCAAAAAAAGCATTATACAAGTGTTTTAATTTTCACTTTTTTTTTTTTTTTTTTTGCACCATAGCTTCTGTTTTAGGTTCTGTTCTAGGTTCATAAGCTGATGCATTGTGGGATAATTTCAGATATTTAGCAGATGTTAAATGGATGTTGCTTCAAATCTTACAGGAATATCAGCAGTTTTATTAAATGACATAAAAGCAGCTGTGCTAAAACAATGTTGTCATGTAACACTCAATAATAATACTAATGACATTGTGCTGAAGCATAACTCAGAACTTACAGAAAAATAAGAAGACTGAATTCAGTTTCAAAAGGGGAAGCATTCTTAGTGTACCTGAAGGAAACTGTGAAAACATAGCTTGGAATTTATCTCAACAATATGCTGTTGCTGCTTTCATTAGAATAAATATATGAAGCTTAATGTTTGCACAACATGACAATAAGGCTAATGAAATACCTCTTGTTGCAGCTGAATTTAAAAAGTAAAAATGTTCAATTTAGAAAAGGGGAACCTGAGCAGAAAATGAGCTCATAGGTAGAGATGAAGAGAGCAAAAGGTCAGCATTTGTTAGTTACCGCTGAGGAAGTTTCCACAGTTACTGGGAATTCTATTTTTTTCTAATCCAAAGGAAATCTGCAGAAGCCTCAAATGCCATTGTGTGGTAACTGCTGGCAAATGTTACAGATTATATCTCAGCCACTGGTGTACTTACTGCTTGCATTTCAACATGAATTTTTTGTTCACGTTTTTCTTCTTTAACTTATTCCTACAAAGTTCAAGCTAATGTATAGGTTAATGGATAAATACATTTGAACATGCATACCTACTTTGTATACAGAAGTTTAGGAATAGGCACTAAATATATAATACCATGTCATGAATAATTTTTTAGGCATTAAAGCAGGTCACTGAAAAGAAGAATGTTTTCCAATTATGATAAGTTGGAATAGAACCTAAAGATGTTTTAATGAACAGTTAGGGAGCCCAATATATTTTAACAGCTATTTAATGAATTCCTATTCCAAATGAATCAATTTCTTACATGCATGTACTCTTCAGCTTCATAGATTTCCACCTAATAAAGCATGGCCAAGTACAGTCACCTACACTGCTAAAAGAAAATGCAGGGCTCCATAAAATTAATGCTTTTTAAAATTAAAAGGTTTTTTTTTATTGTTCAGAACAAGAAGGAGTCTTCTGAAAATGGACAAGTATGAAAAATACACTATTTTTCCTTACACAGAGAAAGTATATTGAAACAAATTGATGAGACCTAATCTGCAACTTCAGCAGCAAATTCAGTTAAAGATGGAGAAAAAGAGCCCAATTCATGGAAAAACAACAGGTTAAAACAAATCTATCAGGATTGGTATGCAATTATTTTCCACTTCATGCTTGTTACCTTTGCACTGAAGGAACAAGTATGTTCTGGGATTGACCTTAAAAATGCTTATCTTTAACTTTGGATCTGATTATCCTGATCATCACATGTTTTGGTGTGCTGCTCTCTAATTACTACTCACCCTTCAACAGTTTCATTTCTCAGAATTGAAGATGACTGCTCACCCAGAACAAGCAGGAACTATGACTAGAGTATCGCTTGTAGCTATAATTTATCACTCAAAATTTTTCTTACACAGATAAATAGATACGAGTTCAGATGTGGCAGAACAAATGCTGAGGTTACAGGGATGTCCTACTTGGCTCTGATTTTAACTATAAGCATATCAAGTACTGTGGTCCTAGCTGTTCCTCAAGTCTCTTAATTATATGATTTCATCATCACAGAATGATAACACAGAAGAATAAAATGAATTTATGAAGTTCAGCTTATGCAGTTCATTTGTGTATGTGATTTCACATTATCTCTACTAACATTACAACAGTACAACTTAGAAGTAACCCTGAACTTTTATCACCAAAACCTTGTAAAGCTTGCTGATGTAAAGCTCACCAACTATCACAGTAATCCACTGGGATATGTAGCACAGTGTATAATAATACTCGTTCAGTGCACAGCTGCACAGAGATAAATAATACTGACAAATAAATACACTGATATGATAAATATACTGACTAGTACCCATTGCAATATATGCTTAATGAGAAGATTGTATTTTGCAAAATGTTAGGAACCATCAACACATGCAATGCTTCCATAGTGATTAGTGTATGATGGCACGAGAGTGACTGGTGTAACAGCCTACCTTTGATTACAGGATGCCTTGATATACACTGAGATACTTCCTCCTAATGTCTCAGTACTTCTGCTATATTCTCTGTAGTAAACTTGGTTCATTCACATAACAGCTATGTATTTGGTATTTTTCTCCCCTGTTATTAGTCTGCAAACTGCCTGTTATTAGTCTGCAGTTATTATATAACTGCCTGTTATTAGTCTGCAAACTACAGTGGACATAGACTATTACTTCATAATAATTTTAGAGAAAGAGGTATCCCAACATAGAATAAGAAAATAAATTATAGAAAACCCCTGGCTAGACAAATAAAGATTGTAAATGGATTGCTTTGATTTTATACTTAAAAGAATAAATTCATACAGGTTTGGTGAAAAGTTTCAGATTTCTTTTGCATAATTTTTTGTGAATTGCAGAAATCATACTTCATTATCATCTTGCTCAAAATTTTCTCCCAATACCTCACTTGGAATCTCTGTTTGTAAGCTTAAATTGTATTGATATGATTGCAAATTGTACTGCTTGATGAGAAAGGTATGATGTTTGGCTGAAGTACAGTTTCCTAAATACACCAAAAGACCACGGCCCCTGGGCAAAAGAAAGCCAAATACATTTTTCCAAATCCACACCATTTGTGAAATGGTAATGAAAGAAAGGAGCAAGCTGTTTCACTAAAACACTGCTCAGGAATGCCATTTCTGCATGCCCACATTATGAGGGTTATAATATCACCCTGAATATTTCTACATTTCATCACAATTCTAAACATGAAAGCAAGTTAACTATTTGGCTGCTCCATCTGATATGCAAACTTCTTGGTGCTATCCAGCAATATTTGCTTAAGTTCAGTAAAATTAATCACAATTTTTAATGTTTATAAAGCAATCACTCTTTGGGAAGCTAATACAGCTAATACCTGTCATTTTTGGTGACACAACATGACTTGGCATGCACTGTAGTTTCAGTTTAGAAGTCTCAAAAACTTTATCATATGAAGTACCTTATGGACTAAGACATTATTAAGCATCAGTAAATGATGATTCCTTCAAAGTTAAAGAATCCTTAAGGAGGAATTATAATCATGAGAAGGTCAGCAAGTTCCCATTCTAAACAGGCAGGGCAGGAAGTATAGACTGCTACCAAAACAGTGCTTTCCCAGTCTTACAGGATCCCTCATCATAATTCTCTGACTAGAAAGACCCTAGGTACTTGGATTTCAGTGCTCTTTCACCATTCTTGCCCTCTTTCTTCACACTATTGTCTGTCCTCACTCATGTGCTGATGCCTATCTTCGTATCTTTAAGTCCATGTGATATTCCCTTGAAAAATTACTTTCTTGACTCAAAATAATTCTTTTTTTTTCCTCATCCTCTCTCTCCCTGCAAAGCTGATGAAAAATCCTTGAGGAGGAACTGAAATTTATGGTATGATCCAATATATCTCTAGAGCATAGAAAGAATATTATGGAATGAAGAAAAATATTCAGAGACCAAGGAGCCCGAGTTAAAGCTTTGGTGTGACGAAAGGGAAGGATAAAGAGCCTTCCTAGTGCCATGGCACAATCTCTACCAGGTCCTTTAAATTCAAGAGAGAAATCTGGGAAGATATCCACTCTTCCTGAAAGTGATTGACCCTCTGAAGAAACAAAAGTGAAAGAAATAAACTTTCTCTGTGTACTGTACAAGCGAACATCTACATCATGGTAAAAAAATTACTCAACCAGGCACACACTGAGATTGACTCAAAGCACCAAATTATATTTCACCACACATAAACATATGGGGTTTTTTCAAGTGAATAATAATCAGCACTTATACCTGGAAATTATATATTCATCATTTTGTTAGTTTATGCTGAGAACTCAAAACAGCACTGTTTTCTGTTGCTTTCTGCTGACACTAAATAAACACATAGTAAGTGTAAGCTTATTGTCATCCAAAATACAGACCATTTGTAGGGTATATCAAGAATCTGAATTACAGAGATTATAGATGGTACACTGGAGACTATGCATAAACTGGTTCTTAACAGATAGATTATTACCCCATGTGACTATCTATGTGTGAGACTGACTTGCAGTGACCCTAAGAAAAACAGCAAGAAAAACATTACTTTAGGGATTGAATGCTCACTGCTAGTATCTGAAAACAGAAAAATTATTTTCTGCTTTATTCCTACTATATTTGTGGAAACAGGTCTATGGGTCTGGTTGGTTTTAGTAATGAAACAAACAACTGCCTTTAAAAATTCCCAGCTCTCCTCAGTTTCTCATGGTGTCATTACACAGGATCCTGAAAATTCCTCATATCAAAAAAGTGCAACATGATGCAAGAACATTTCAGCATAACTTGCAACATTTATTCTTCAGCACCTTTCTTGCATGTGTTCTTCATGTAAGTACTTAGTTTTTGCTTTATGAAGGTCCACCGTATCACTTTTTGCAGTCTACAGTAAAAGTTTACAAATTTAGAAAATAACATTTTATACAATCCTATCTGTCGGTATGCATCAAATTAAAGAATACTTTTCCCTTCTATCTAGGTGGAAAGACAGAATCATTCATTTTTATTTAAAAAGCACACTATTAAATATGAAAAACAAAGGCAGAATTACAACTTCTCTATATTTTTCTAATTAATAGAGAGACTTTAACTGGTAAGAAAGACAGAATTCAGACTTACCGTGCATTTGTTCGGCTTCTCTCCTGAATGGACTCTCATGTGAATCAGCAGTTTATAACGGGCATTAAATGGCTTGTACCTTCGAGGGCACCCTGCCCAGAAGCAAGTGAAGTCCTCTCCCTTCCTCTGGTCTATGTGAATCTTCTCTATGTGCCGCACAAGTTCCTCTTGCTGGTCATACAGTTTACCACAGTCAACCCAGCGACAGCCATGCTTGCTGCTGAAATCTTCTAGCTCACCCTCTTCATCCAGCAGGGAGCCTGGGGCAGGAGGAGGCACATGCAGTGGGTGAACATGGCTGGGCAGGCTGTGTGGATGCTGGTGCTGATGTGCATGGTATGGTGGAGGTGGCCCTTGCGGAGGAGGCGGTGGTGGCAGCAGGGGTGGAGGAGGCATGTCCACCATAGCCCCTGAGAAGTCATCCAGCCGTTCATTTTTCAGGATTCCCACTGCCTGGTTGTCCATGGGCAGCATGCCCTGCTGGATCATCATGTTACCTGTGGCAGCCATCTGCAAGCTGGCTTGCTCCAGCTGCTGCATTCGCTGGTACTCACTGGCCCCATTCTCAGCATACCCTGGGAAGGTGACATTGCCATTCGCCATGAGGAGGCCTTTCTGTGCAGTTGGAATGGAGCAGTTTTGGGGTATGCGGCTTCCTCTCACTCCCAGAAAATGCCCATAGACCTCAGGTTGGGGTGAGATGTTTGCTGGCAATATTCTGGAGCTGTTGATGTAGGCCACAAGAGAGGTTGGGGATGTACGGATGATTGTATTGAAATCAATCCCGATGCTGTCAGACAGAGGAGATACAGAGAGTGCCCTCTTTTTGGAGCGGACTGACTGAGATGGTGCTGAGGAATGGTGAGGACTAGAGTAAGAGGAATGCTTATTTTCCATGCCATATAAGTAGGACAGTAATGAGTTAGGGATGCAGTTACTGGACATATATATTTCAGATGAAAAATTTACTAGATCCCCCAGCTCACTACCATTTTGTAAGCCATGGTCGCTAGGAACAGAAGGAAGTGTCCTGTATCCATGTGACCACTCTTGTTTAACACCCAGGGTGGACTGACCTTCTGAGAAGCTTAATGTTGTAGATGTCAGAGAGTCATGTGACAAGAGCAACCTGAAATAAAGGCATGATAAAGTAAGTAAGTACTTAGACAATTCAGCAGTGGTTCTTTCACCTTCACACATGCACATTAATATTAAGAATACACGTGAGAAAAGTTGTCCCTAATTTTAGCTACTCAACTTTAGCACACTCAGTTAATGCACTTGTAGAGGCAAAAAGGTCGTATACATACATATGCAAAAAGGTCACTCAGAAGCCCATTTTAAAACTTCAAGATTTCTGAAAAAAAATTGCTATAAAGATTCTTGGTACACCACTGCAGAAATCAATGCAAATCTTTTCACCAATTGTGGTGTAAATAGCTTTGGACTTCTGAAGCTAAAGCATTTTGTTCCTGTCTTATACGAAACTCATACTGATTTGAGTCATCTATTATTTTTGCTTGAAAAGAATGAGAAGAAAAGTGATTAATAGAGAATAAATATTTAACCTGAATGACTTTGCCAATCGTAATGCAAATACTTCCCTAGAGAAGTTTTATATATCAAGTTTATAAATATAGATAATATCTAACTTTACAAAACAAACAAAATAAATGAGTAAGGTAGAAGAACTGGTTGAAGGGGTTTATTTAGTTTTGATTTGACGATGTATCTGCTTGCAAGTCAGCAATCAAAATTTTTCACAAAAGTGTAATGTTGCTGTTATTGGTGGTTTTTCACAGGGATATTATGGAACTTCTTTATGCTGCAAATATTCTATGGGTAGTTTAAAAACCCGACTCATAAGCTCTTAAAAACATTGTTTTCTATATAGAGTTATAAAAAGGAAATACAAGGACATCAGAGTCCCTGATTTGTTGCTGCAAATGCTGGGTAGAGATCGAGAGGATATATGTCTTTATGTTTTCAGTTCACACACTGGCAGACTTGGATTTCCTACCAGGTGGTAGTGGCTGGCAGGAAATTTTCAAGGGGCTCTAAGAATAGGAAGAATCAGGTATGTATCTAGGTAAATGTAGCAAGTCACAGACACATAAGCCTCTACATCTTATGTTTTGATGGTTAATTCTTGATTCTCTTATTTTTACAATCATTTTGAAGAAGACGTGATGGATCAAGGACATAGGAGGGGAAGCTTGGCACAGGTTGAAGGACAGAGGAAGCAGTTTGCTGGTGCTATGTCTGTACACTGAGATAGCTCACAAACAGAGAAATGAAGCTTTAAAGAACACCAAGCCTTGCTGTTGTGACCAGTGGGAGTGATTTTGCTCCTTTGTGCAAGACACTTCCTTTGTAATGGATGGTTAATTTGCTGTATCAGAATAAGAAACATCCTGCTTGGACTGAATAACAGTGCAGGGTATTGTTATGGAGTTTATGTTACTCCATCACAGTTTAAATGGCACTGTCAAAATGGACCACTGACAAAAACCACAATTAACATGCTGAATACAATTTGCATTGAGAGAAATGAGAAAAATGAGATTGCTCTATCAGGTCAATCCTGTGTGCCATTTAGATCTAACAGGATAAGCATTTGCGAAAAAGTTGATTTGGGTTGTTGAGTCTGTTATCAATGGGCACAGTTCATGATAGGGCAGTTGTATCATGTTAGTACACTGTGACCCAAATACAGATCCACAGTTTTCAACAAAGCAAAACATGTAAGTAAGGTTGGATTTCCTCATGCTAGGCTATATATATTTATACCTAGAGAATATAAGGGGAGAGTGGGGATGTTTTGCCAGTTTGTTTGTTTAAATTATTTTCTATAAGTAGAGGAAAAGAAATCATGCATCAATAATCTACTACAAGTCTACTTTTGTACTGACAAGAATTTTAATCAGATGCATAGTAGGACTAGTGTCATTCAAAAAGCTACTAACGCCCGACACAAAGGGACTTAGCCATCAGTGAATTTGAAGAAAAAATGTGTTTAAAAGTCTCAGAACAGGACAAAAATAAAAAGTTGGCCCAGAATTTCAAGCATACAATAAGTAAATAATCTGAAGAAGCTTGGTTCCCACTTCAGCATCTAAATTCAAAAGTAATAAAGATTCCAGCTCCCAAAAAATCCCAAAGATTTATTTAAAACTCAGCTCACACTGTGACTAAGTAGTTTTCTGGGGGGAATAAATACACCTAATATGAAAATGAAGGGCCAGCTCTACCACAGTGCCAGATTCTCAGACACTATTAACTGGCACATCTGCTCATTGTCATTTAAACTGGTTTGAGTTTGGACCAGATCTTTCATTAACATTTACAAGATATTACTTGCAATTCCTTTCTATTCTCCCTCTGTGTACAGAGGCCACAGTGTCAAAATATAACCCAGAATCTTGAACATAAACATGGAAGAGCAAAAACTATGGTTTTTTTTCTTTTCGTGACCTTCTGTTTTACTAGCAAAGAATGCTTTGCTCTTTCCTAGGCCCTTTTCTGACTTCCATCAAAGCAAATGGCAGTATTGCATTTGGTTTCAAGCAGCACAACTGAATAGTCTGAAAAAGTTTTGCAGAAATTCAAAAAAGACAGGGAAGGCTTTATCTCTCCTGGTCTATACACCAGAACCTGATGCTATCTGTAGCAGAACTCCAATTTTGCCAACTTTTTTTTTCTTCCACATGCCAAAATCAATACAATTCACTTTGGGTTTGGTCAGTTCAGCAAATAATCTGGTTTGAATAGAATTGCTGGAACACAGTTCATGGTACCTGAAATATAAAATCCAGAAAAGGCACTCTGCCCTGGAAGGATCATGGAGTCAATTTAGTTTAGCCAAAAGCAGTTTACAGTTGAAGGAATTTAAAAAAAAAAAAAAAAGAAGAAAAACTCAAATAAAAAATTTATAAAACAAAAACCAAAACAACCATCAAACGTAACAAACAAATGCCCCCAAAATGATGACAACAACAAAACCCACTACAAATAAACAAACAAACCCAAATTGTTTCAACAATCTGTGAATTAAAATCTGACTTCAAAATTGTTTTGTCCTAGAAAATAGTCAGTTTGAGGTCAAAATTGCTGAAATTTACTTTCTTTTTGTGACAAACTTACTTTATAACACCTTCACTGATAAATCATTAAAAGATACTCTAGGGACACTAGAGCCTTGATTCTACCAGTTTCAACTTTACTTTGCCCTTAGTAAATGTTTCTTTGCAATAAACACAAAAATGTATAACTCAGTACTCACATAGTACATCCAACCACATGTTCAGTGTTTGGAACCATACAGGCACACCTAAAACTTACTAAGCAAGTAACAATTACTTGATTATATTTTTCTAGGATCAGTTTTGTTCCATCTCAAAGGCATGTCTTTGGATTTTTCATTTGTCATCACTTTAGTACTGAATGGTTTTCCCTGACATGTTTACCCAAGGAGCATAATTAATTCTGTACATTTTCCCAGGGGGCTCAATCTTCGCAACTGAAGGGATAGAAATGTTAAAAATTATATTAGAGTAAAGAAAAGTTTACTTCCAATTACATAATACCAACTTTAATTATTTCAAGAACGTTCATTGGTTTGTAATAAAGCAATACAGTAAAATGTAAACTGCTTTGAGAATAAAGACTCTTGTGGCCTTTTGTAAATATGAAGCTACACTTCAACTCAGTAGGCAATGGGGGATGCAGCTTCCGAAACAACACATCAGAATGTTTTCTCACTCTGTGTTTAACTAACATCCACAGGATGTGCCTAATGTATTTGTATGAAGGTTGCCAAATAACTATTTTCCTTTCATTCATGTTTGTTGACAATACTCATAGTAATTATCTCAAAATTTAAGCATTTAAAATTAATGAATAAATATTCATCTGGGGGGTTGTGACATAAAAGGCAAGATTTACAGGGAAGGTCATAGTTTTGAATAAACTACTCACCAGAATTATGAAAATTAACAAGTTTTCAGGGACAATTGACATAATTAATTTAATTATATAATCAAACCATTTCAAAGCAATGGTATTTGATAAGGAGAGAGGAACATTAGCAGAGCATTTACTTACTTTTTTCTCAGACCTTAGTGTTACTTGACAAATATGAACATAGCACCCTTAGAACTGCATGCATGTAATATGTGTGCTATTTCTGCTTTCATCCTCCATAACATTTCCCATCCTTAGTACAAAAACCTAGCTACATGACTATAAAAAGGTCTTTATGTAACAAAAAAAGTCCTATCAACTATAGATTTTATGTGGCCAAATTTCACCCATTATTTGAATGATCCAGATGGTATGATTATAGCTGAATAGCTACCATATCACTGTGAATTAAATTGCATTGAATTCAACTTCCCATGGCATAAAAGAGCATGATTTTCTTATTTTAATAATCAGAAAGGTTGCATTTTAATTTCAGAAAAATTAAAACCCCCTCTTTTTAAAGTACCGAATACAAAAAAGCATCTCAGGACCTTGTATCTGACATAGAAGCACTCAGGCTGGAAGCATCCATAGACCTCTGCAAGCTAGGGCTGATCTGGCTGCATGCTGTTGAAACCTGATGAGCAGAAGATGGAAGAGGTCCCAGCTGTTGAACTGTCATGGGAATGCTGGCGACTATTGCATTGTTGTAGCTGCCTTTTCCAATGGACTTGCACTTGTGTCCGTAACCAAGGTTTCCTAAAAATAAGCACAGCAGGTTTTAGTATTCATCTCTCATGAACCCATGATGAGGCCACAGAACTCACATCACTTTGCAAAGTCGGGAAAGTGAGGAGAATCCTCAGATGAGGACAAATGGTGAACTAAACAAGAATTTTACAATCTTCTCCAAGTACTAAAAGCACTATTAATTAATAAATTTTGCACGTGTAAAACATGTGCAAAAGTACATAAATCAAAGACCAGGCATCACCAGGTAGTACAGCAGCCCTCAGCTGGGGGACAGGCCTGGCCTTAAGTGCAACTCTATCTGAAGAGAGCAGGAAGAGAGAACCTAAGGAGGCTGGTGGAAAACCACCATGCCCTGAAAAACCCCACAGCTTCAGGTAGCCTTTCCATTATTACTACACTAGTCATCCAAAAAGCAAGAGGACCATTAATAGGCACACAAACTACAATGCTGGCTGTGTAGTTTTACTGGCAGAAGAGAGTTACAGCTGGAACCCAGCTTTCCTCAGAGATCTAGGGAAAGGAATCTGAGGTGAACCAAAGAGAGATGCACGCTGGATTTTCTTTGAAGGCCACAGATTACGCATGCTGGACTGCCTTTGAAGGCCACAATCAGTTCTTAATCACTGCTGCCATGACTCAAAATGGTACAGGGACATACTTACAAAATGCTCTGTGTACCCTGTGTTGTGATTTAGGTCACAGATGGTTGTTTACAAGATTCTCTTCCTTAAAATGCATTGAGATGAGAAAGTTAAAATGTAGGTCATAATATGGAAGTTGTTGGATATCTACCAAATTCTCATCACAGCTGGAAATTAAAAATTAGGCAATTCATATTTCTAGCTGGTTCCCTGTGTTCAGAATACTGCACAAAGCAGGATAGCAAAATCAGGACTAACAGTGAAAAGTACTTCAATGCAAACCATTCTTCTAAATTAAATCTACTTCTGACACAGTTGAACAACTCATGCAAGTTTTTCTCCAGGTTGTTCAGATGGATTGTGAACTGCAGAAAGAAGTTCAATAAGGCATTTATGACCCTCACAGTACCTCAGGGATGCAGAGAACAAGTAAGGAAATTTTCTATGTTAGGGTAAGGATGATGATCAAAGACGATCTGGTCACTAGTCCACTAGTCACTGAAAGGAAAAAATGAGAAACAGAGTACTTTGGAGACATTGTAGTACTGGAATGGTAGACAAAAGCAATGCCAGACTCTAGTCCTCACAAACATTTGCCTGGGCATTTCTCTAAGGTTGAAATGGAAGGAAAAGGGTTTTTTTCTTTTTACCACTGACAAAAACTTCGTGTTATCAGAAAAAATACCAATTCTTCCACTTAAAGTGGGTGGGTGAGATTATCATGAATGAATAAATAAATCATCAGCTCCCACCAGAGACTGCAAAGACTGATGCTTTGCAAAACACAGCCATAACATTTTATCCACTGCTTTATAAAAGTACAAATGTGTCAGAAGACCATAAGTAATACCTCATCTGTGCTCTGCAGGTCACTGAACAGTGTTAGTTTGATCTGAATCAGGCAGGAGCATACAATCCCACATATGCTGAGCTAAGTCTGAGAACAAGATGGGAAGCTTATGCTAACTTAAAGCCAGCTACAAAACTACAGACATCTGATCTTAAGTTAAATGGGTGCAACATGGACATCTGACCTGATATCAGCCTGTTGCTAAAAGGTAAGCTGTCAGAAAGTGTGCTCAAAAGCACTGGATAAATCTAAACTGTCAGACTATGTCCTACATCAGCATTGGAATCATACACCCACAGCACCAGAGGAACCCTCACAACAGGTCTCCTCCATCACTATTGACACAAAGGCTGAAAATTTCAGGGCAGTGAAAGGACAACCATGAATTTCTTAATGCCCTGAATCCACATCAGTTGATAAACGGGAAAATCTTGGGAGGACATCAGTGGCTTTTAAATGACACTGTAGATTCTAAGAAAAATATCTGAAACTAATATTTTAAATGAGAAAGAGAAGTAATCTTTTTCTTAGAATGCAATGAGATGCAATGAGTCCTGAGGTGGCTCACAGGAGGAGTTACAACTGATTAGCAAGTCCTTTATTCCAAAAAAACATACTACACATAAATCAAAGCTGCTTTTTATAAGTAAATAACAGTAATAGCCAATAAGTATAAACAGTAAAAATATTCAGTGGAAATATTTTAATCCACTCACTTCCTCATTCATTAGCTTGCCTATTTTCCCTGTTTATTCTCTATAGTTGGTTAATAGCTAAGCTTCACTCAACTTTGAAATGTAAAACTATTTCACTGCAATCTTCTGAAGACATTTGAAGAATTCAGAAAAATACCACTACTTTAATTTAGACACACAGAATTTTAGATGAGATTCTCTTAATTTATATAATTCTCATATTTTTGGTGGGAGAGTCCAATATGAAATTAGTTCAATTTAAACACATTTTCTTTTATCAGATAGTAATTGAAAGCCAACCAATTTCTTTGTCTACTTCTCCATGTCAAGAGTAGTAACTTGGTAATTCTGACAAGTAGCTCAGGTTAAAAAATGAAACTGCTTCACCAAATCTTTGAAATTGTAATCTATGCTTCCCATTTATAAATCATAGTCAACAAAAACCAGTTTTAATTATTTGGTGTTCTGAAACACACTACATGTATACAAAATAATAACACTAGATCAAATTCAAACATCTCTAATAAATTACACAGTTACTCAACTAATCAGTATGAAAGTAAGTTATTTAAAATATCTTAAAACCTGTCCTTTGCTACTGTTAGAGTAACAGATAGAAATAAAAGAATTGCAACAAAGGAGCAAAAGTTAATTTCCCTAGAGGATTTTTTATGTTGATATACTCAGAAAATGTACACTTTAAGAGCTTTGGAAATGCTTGGTTTTAATGTTTCCCTTGTTTCCAGTCTTGTTTGTGTGGACTCTATATTCACCAAAATGTGGAGAAAAGGGCACATTAAAAAAGTGTATTGTACAACAATAAATAATATACAAAGAGGACAGAGACCAAACAGTAAGCAAGACTGTGTCAACATATTCTTCACACAGATTAGCTGTAAATCAGCAAAGCCTTTTCAAACCAAATTTGATCTTTTTTTCACAATACAGTTAATCTTCTGGATGTTGCAATCCCCAGCTACCACACACGTCTTTTCTGGGTGTATCTGTGTATCTGCAGGGTTATTGTCACCCTAGCTGGAGGGGTTTCGCAGCAGCTGCTGACTGGACAAACTCAAGTGTTTGCATAGAAGACTTGTTTCCTAATAGTAATATCCCAATCCCTCTCACCTTGAGCCTGTCAAACTTTTCAGGCTTCTCCTGTAGCAATTTTAGTTGTATTACTAATGACTGCCAGAGACCTAGTACTTGTCTCTTTGTCCTTACACAAAATAGCCAACTTTCTATTGTTTCTACAGTAATCTAAGAGGCAGATTGCACTACACCTACTTAGATAGAGACACTAGCCACAGGGCAGTGGATATCAGACCCCTGGGAAGCCTCTTCAACTGTGTTAAACTGGAGCGTCTAAGTAGAACAGGGGCCCCTGGTGGTCTAGTGGTAAAGGCGCCGCACTATCACCGTGGAGACCCGGGTTCGATTCCCGGTCAGGGCCACTCCCGGGCAGGTGGGGCTCGTTAGCCCTTAAAGGCAACCCACCTACGTCCTAAGGACCTCGCTGCCACCGTCCAAGCTCACTTGGCCCCGGCAGATGAACCTTAGGATTAAAGGGTGGGCTCAGTTCCGCGCACACTGTGTCTCACCTAAAAAATCCAATGCGCAGGCTGGAAGGTGGAAAGACCTTCCCCGGATCTTCGCTCGCGAAGACTGGCCATTTTTTTTTACAAGTAGAACAAATTAAAAACCGAAGACAGAATAGGGGGAATATTGTCATTTGCCTTTATGAGCATATGATCAGAAAAAATCTTTGCCTGTTCGGAAATCTGGGCTTCTTCAAACTGGTGTCACACCCTGAGCCCAAATGCTTTTGTGAGACCTTGAGATTTCTAGGTGAACTACACAAAAATTCAATCACAATTACACTAGCTATGAGCAATTTTTTATGGTGTGCGATCTGGAATTTTTCAGGGTACAAGTCAATTATTAAACTATGATTCAAAATATTATAGCGGTTTCACAACTCCACCACACAGACAGTACATGTTAGTGAAACAGTGATTCTTAGTAGTTATTTTCTTTCAAAAATAGAGCAAAATAATAAACCAAGGATTTGTGGTTCGAGAGAAAATTATGGAATTAAGATCCCAATGGTTATGATAGTAGCTTATGGTTTTCTTAACACTTACAATTAGCAATGCCTTGTTAGTAACAAATCCTCTAAATCCTCTGGCAAAATCCACTCTGAACACCAAGTTAGACAGACCATTAATCTGAATAGTATTGGCAATTCCCATGTTCTTAACTATTTGAGGAGACGTAATTTTTACAATCAGTACAAATAATCTCAAGAAAATACACTAAACAGAACATTATATGATGACATGGTATTATGAGAAAATGCTACGTATGCTTTTGAAGGTCTTCCATGCTTTGAATCTTGGAAAGGCAGTTTCTTCACTATCAGAGTGCACTTGGTAAGTTAGCTTACACTAATTTCCAATACTATGTGCCATTTATTGTGTGAAGCAATCAAGCATGTATTTTCGGCAACTTTACCGTGAGACAAAAGAAACTGACAAAGCACAATGAAAAACAATGTCTGCCTTCAACTGGAACCAAGGTAAAAAATTATCCAGAACTGACCAACGAAAACAATACCTCACAGGTGATTAACTTTGCTGGTTTAGAGCAGACAGCAATGAGATCACCTACTTCTATGGCACACTTTAACCACTAAATTTAAACAAATGCAAACAGTGGTCTTGTAATGACTAAACTAAGAATATATTATGAAACAGTCAGGTTTAGGAAACTTCCAGGAGAAAACACACACACAGTAAAACAAAAATGTTCCATTAGATC